GGCCCGGCCCCCGCCGCCGTTGTTGTTGAGACCGAAATTTCGTTGAAGATCTGGCGGTGTTTTGCAGGGATAAGGAGCGTAGGGCGAGGCCCCGGGATGTGGTGAGAGTGCCCGGGTGACCGTGCGGGCGGCCCGATCTGGGCACGGCGCTTCGAGGAGGGAATAACAGGCAGTGGTCTGCAGGTGGGCTCCGGCAGAAAGTTCCCAGCCGGTGGGCGGGTACAGGTGTGCGGCCTCTCTTCCCCACAGGTACGGGAGGCTGCCGCGTTCAGCACGGAAATCGCGGCCAAGGTGATTAACAATAAAGTTGCTAAATAACTGGGGACGCGTTGTCTTGTTCGATTTGAAAACAAGGAGTCGTGGTAGATGGGGTATCTATGGAACGGATGCGAGCTAGGTGCAAGGTAGACTTTGAGGCTATTTGTGTAAGTAGGAAGGTTTCCCCCCCCCGTGCCCCTGCGCTGGCTGCCGTTGCATCATTGAAGGGCATGAAATCAGGAAGTGAGATCGATCGGCTGGCACAGCCGAGCAGCATGGACGGCTTATCCCATAACACACATGGCAGGTAGGAGAGAGACAGGACTCCGTCATTCTCAATGTCCTCACAACTGTTGTGTGTTCAGCAAAAGTGTTCTTGGGCATACCTGTGTGTGCCAGCCACTGCTCCATCCAGAAATTATGTAGTTGGTGATCCTGAAGAGTATTGTGTAGGTTATCCACAGACAATCATATTGGAAGATAAAAAAAATGCATGTGTTCTAGTAATGTTTCTGCACCTATTAAGGTAGACTGGTTAAAGAAGCCTTCCTAAGTCCTGCTGCAATACTGCAGCAATAGAAAATCAGTCAGCTTCTAGCTTTACCAGTTTCTTCGAGGCTTAACCAAAGCGATTTTGTTCTGCAAAGAACTGTCATGTAAAAGCTACCTAGTGTGCTTGGATTGCTTTTGGGAGGGCAAAATAATTGATAACAATGACCCGAACATTTCTAGGCAGTGAGGGACGTAGAAATCTGGATTTCAGCCCTTGAATGGGTTCTCTTGTATGTAGTAGCCTTTGTTTATCTTGCTGATGGAGGGAAGTTATTGTCAATTAAAAAGAAAAAAAAATTGCAGCTTTCTCAAAAGAAGCTCAGGCAAAATAGTAGCGAAAAGCAAAATGGAAGGAGCTGCTTTGGGCATTATTCACAGTCTGGCTTTAATTGGCTTGCACGAATGGAGAAATGGTGTTTACGCATAATCATTAGCGTAGCGTTCCTAAACAATAAGCTTAGCAATTACTTTTTTTTCCCCCCTTTGCTTATGTGGCCTATGGCATGACAGTTATAACATTAAGGGAGGATCCATATGTAATTCTCTGGGAGACCCATGGTGGTTTAATCTGAATTGTTATTTATGAGGTCTGTGTGAGTTGTCTGTGCTCCGCATTGAGCGGTTGATTATATATGGTCTTGGCTGCTAGCGTTCACAGCTATGAAATTATATTTGAAAGAAGTTGAGAATACTGGATATTACTCTTAATATTTGACAGTTACAGCAGTTCAAAGTTTAATAGATAACCTCTTACTTGTGGTAATAATTACATGAAGGGAGGCAGTGTACAGAAATTGAGTGAGAAAGTGTTCAAGATACTGTGAAGATATGTGAAACACTGTGAAACTTTTAAAGTCGGATATCTTTTGTCAACATGTAAAAAAGGCTTGCAAGACTCTTCCTTTAGTGCTTTCAAATGCAAATCTCTAATGTCACTTCACCTTTAAAATTTTGCTTAGAAAGAAACTTGACTTTTCAGTACGAGTTTTGCAATAGTACTTTAGAGAAACATGGTATTTGGAAATTGATGTTTTAGTGGCAGGATGCTTGTAAAAAGTGCAAAACATGACTATATATATGCATACTAAACAACACGTGTCAATAACATCGGTAGAATAAAAGGAAGTGTCAGCAAATTTGATGATTTTGACTGAAAATACTGGCCTGTCCTGAACTAGCTTTGTAAATCTCTTACTTGCCCTATTGCTTGAGAGGAATAAGCTTCTTGACACACTTGACGTACTACCGCAATGAAGGAAGAACATAACCAACTTACAAATGTTATAAAACTTACACAAGAAAAGGCAGGATTTATGGATTGCTGCTTTAATAAACAGATAAGCTTAGTTTATCACAAAAAATGCTAGAAAAGCATTAAAAACTTAATATGGAAAGGTAATATGGGGGCTTTCAGTCAGTGTTGCAGGAGGAAGGACGTGTTGGTGCAGTCTGTGCAACACTGCTGCCCTCTTCCAGCTTCTGCAAAAGCAACAAAACTGCCACTGTTCATCTTGATTTTTTCCCCTCCAGCTTCTCCCTTTTACTGCTGAAAAGGAGAAGGCATGGAAACTCAGTTTCTCCTGCTTGCTCCATATCACTGATCCACTCCTACTTGATGTAAAAATGTATGCGGAGGTAGTCCACCCATATATATTGCAGGTAACCATACTTGTAAACGGCTAGCCAGCCTAGTAAGGAGCCACCACATACTCTAGCGCAGCTGGATCCATGCGGAGGGGACTTGTGGCTGGTGACATCAGGGCTCGTAAGATGTGCCATAAAGTTCATAATGCTGATACGTGGAAGAGGAAGGGCGAAAAGGCCCTGTGTGTATTTCATAAGGGAAAGGTTCCCTCCCTGTGGTCCAGGGGAAGGAGCCTGGTACAGCCTAGATGCTAATGAGCCTTAGTGATGCTGTCAGGTCCTCTCAGCATCAGTCTCCTTCTCCTGATGTTACTCTGCTGTGGGGGAAAACACTGAATGTGAGCGATTAGAGGAGCCTGAGATGGAGACAGTGCAGCATCTGTTTGTGTTCTAGGCACGTGCTAAGGGGTTTTAACTTTACTTTTTTGTGGATCTTCTGGAATGATGTCCCGTGAATGCATTTACCAGTCGGTGTTTCTTGTTTGAGGAGACATTGCTTTGCTGTCAGGTGAGAATTCAGTGGGAAATTAGGTTCTCCAGAAGTAATTGAAAAATACAAGGAAATTAAAATTGTATTTTCAATTTAAAATTATTTCTGTATTTCTGTTTAGGAGCAGCAAGTGAGGGTGCAGAAAGCTCAAATAAAACTTCATTGCCTCTGCTGTTATGTACTGCTTTACATCTCTCATGATAAGGTGTGGTGGCAAAATTAGTCTACAATGACTGATGTGGTTACTACTTACAGCTTTAGTTATAATTTCTGTCCTGCTTCTGTGGCAGGGACAATACTGTGGAAAGTGTACCAAGTGCTTCAGTTCGTATCGTATTCTGCTGTCCCTCTTGTAAGGTAGTAATTTTGGGAGACAGGGTGGATAAATACCACGTGAAGTACTTAAATCACAAGAGGCCTTTGGTTCCCCCTCAAGAGACTGGTTTTGCCAATCATTGCCAGATAACTTCCCCATTCTGAAGACGAAATCTTGTTTCTTTGATTCTATTTTTTGCCTTTTATACTGATCTAAGTTTTAGACCCTTCCTCTCCTCAGTGCTAATAGGTCTGGGCTTGTTATTCTTCTTTAGTTATTATTTAGCTGAGCCGCTGATACTGCTCTTTTAAGAGAGCTCTTAGGATTAAACAGGATGCAAGATTTACTTTGAGATACTGAGGTTTTATTAATGCAGTATAGATGTATTCTAGGAACAGTCTGAGTTGTGGGCAGCTGACAGAAGCTTTTTTTTTTAAGCATCCTCCAGAAAATTTTCTACCAGATGTCAGTGTAAACCTGTGTGTTCATTCACTTGCAGCTTATCATTGAGTTTTCTTTGATGCCATTGATCTGAAATGTTTCCCTTGGAACGTATTTCTCAGGTTAATTTCCCTGTATCCATTAATTTGTATCTCCATTTTCATTAGAGTTTAAAAAAAAAAAACCCAAACAGAAAACCACCACCAGAAAACTTTGTGCTGCTGCTCTGTATTCAGGTGCTTTTTGCAGTGTATCACTGAATATTTGGGTTGAGTGTCTGGTACTTACTTGGTTTCTCTCCCTTGTTGTTGATGAAAATCAGATGGCGGCATGGTCACCTTAGAGACTGACATGTTGCTTCTGGTATGCTTAGCTCTTAGTCTTGGTTCAGTCAATATGTGTATGCGTGGAGGAGCTTTAGTGTTTTCTTAGCGCTAAAGGTGAAGGGTAATGTACAACATGCAATAAGTGCTTCTTGCAGGTGTGTGCAGTATGTGCTATTGGATCAACCTGTTGGAAGCCCTCCTCCCTCCTGCAGTTCAGTAGCCGTGCAGGTGTAGGAGACGCTGTCCTGCACTAAGAGGCATTGCAATGTCTGCATGCTGAAACGGCCATGCAAGTGGGATATATAATCTGCAAATAGGTACTTTAAAGAAAGTTGTTAACGGCTCCAGGGGTTAAAGCAAAATCTGAGAGGAGAGTTTTTGCCCGTCTGGACCTTTGAGGATTAGATCTTCCAGGATTCTGCCTGTTCATGAAATTCAGCATCTACTTCCATCCAAAGAAGTAGCTCTTCCTACTAAACGTGCCAGAGCAAGAACTGTTGTCCTTTTAGTCTCCCAGTGAGTGACTGCAGTTACTGTAGGCAGGGTGTTGTTTCTATGGTACGTTGGACTGCTGCCTTTTTAGAATAACTTCAGGGACACTGAAAGTTTCGTTTGTTTCACGTTTTTGGTTTTTGTTTGGGTTTTTTTGTTGTTGTTTGAAGGGGGGGATTAATTAGCAACAGTGTATTGAGAGCAGTGTTTTCTCATTTTCTGAGCATTGTATTGTGTTGTATATGTTACAGACCTTGTGCTGAGCTGACAATTGGATATGCGGTGATTGACTTGTGTTTTGAACATCTGAAATTAAAACTGTAATACTTGAATGTGTAACTGTGTTTATTATGAGATGACTAGGATAGCAGTGGCCACATTTTTCAGCGGAGTCATGTTTGTGTCATCCATCGGGCTCAAAGAAATATTAGTAGAGTGACTAGATGGTATATTAATTGCAGTTGCTATATTTGGATGCCTAGATCTAGATTTGAATTAAGTGACAAAATTAAATCTGACTGAAATTCTTCCATCAAACTTATTTGGATTGAAGTAGTGTGTAGAGATGCTGCTCCTTTTCTTACCGCGAGGCCAGCCAAGCAGTGGAAGAGGCTTGCAGGGTGGCTGGGCAGGCTCCGTCCGTATGTCTTCAAGACATGGCTGTATAAAGCCCTGAGCGACCTGCTCTGAGCTCGGAGCTGACCCTGCTTTGAGCAGAGGTTGGACTAGAGACATCCTAAGGCCCCTTCCAGTCTGAATTATCCTGTGATCCTGGATTAGGACCTGGTTATGGTAAGCGTTATGCAGAAGCGTGTTATGCTGTCTGTAATCCTCTGTCCCAAGGTTGTCCTGGCAGCTAAAAATCTTTCTTAGAGTAATACCCACGGAAGTAATTTCAGTTGATGTTAAGCTGTCAGTGCCTGTTTTCTTTATCTGAGATAGATCTGCCTCCTTCTTTTGCAAGCCTTTTCCTGTCAATTTTGCTAATCGCTATTTTAGATTCATAATGTTGATAAGCTTCCACTCAAATTCTCACTAATTGTGAAATAATGCATACTGTAAGTAGATACGGAAATGTGCACACAGAAGAGAATAAAAGCGAAGATAGTACCTGGAGGATGCATTAGTCTAATATGGCCAAAACTGTCTACAGATGCAGTGGAGGTTTAAAAGAGATTCAAGCAGGAATTGTCTCTTGAAGGTGAGCTGGGCTAATGAAAGCAGGATGGTTTCTTAAATAATATTGCTGGGTCTTGGCAATAAAGATTCAGGTGAGGTAGCCTGCAGGACGGGTGAGCAGAAACAAGTGAATTATCACATCACTGCAGAAATTTGAAGAATATTGCAATCCTGAAAGAAGGAAATGTTTTAGAAGATATGTTTCGTAGAAAACTGAAAAAGGAGAGGGGAAGAAACATCAAGGCATTTAAAATAGTACTGGGGCTGAGTAAACTTAATGCTTAAAGTTTGTGGAGACCCTAATTCTGAGTTAAATTCTAGTAGGAATCAGAGAGCCAAAACTGAGACCAAGACTGCCAGAAAATCCGAACTTAATTTTGGAGGTAGCTTTTGGGATTTACCAGACTACAGAACATTAATTGCGTCAAATTGCAGTAGAGAAAGACAGACACAACTCTCTTAATGATGGGTGATGCAAATTTTGGTGATCTTGACATGCAGGATTGCGATATCCTTGCATTGTCATTACAGCGAGCTGAGTAAGCAAACTGCAGACCCTTTGGAAAATTGAAAAGCGAAGTTAAATCTCCCAACAAAGAGTCGGCAAAATGCAGACAAAACGACTTTATGTGGAAGTTGGCACATGGAAGGCTAATGCTTAAAATGCTACCCTTCCTTTGGGCAGAGCTGCTGTGTAAGAAGTGAAACCGTTTTACAAAAGCCCATCAAAAGGGACCAGAAGCGCTTTAAAAAAAGCTGTCTGTGTGTAATATTCTGTATGATGAAGAAGAGGTGGAAGAGGTTTTTCTTTCTCTTGAACAGCTTCTAAGGCTCCATCCAGCCGTTTGTAGTATTGCCTTGAATGCGAGCAGTGCTTGGGTTACGTGTGCATCTGTGGCCAAACGTAGCATCGGATGTTGCCTAAAGGTTTGAAAGCAAAACCCAGCCCTGTGGCCACAGGCAAAGTGCAGATAAGAGAGAGGTTAAATTGCTCGTATTTCTGGGTAGGTATAAAAGTAGCACAAGATAGCTTCTCCCTCCCTCCCCCTCTTCAGACTAACGGTTCTGGAAGAAAGCGAGCTGCATGGTCTCACCGGCAATGACCACGCAACCCTTTGGGGCAGAGGTTGTTTTCCAAAGGCACCAGGGTACCCGCACAGCTGGTGTAGGTCAGCCAGTGAATCAAGCCGGGTTCTGCCTCCCACGGGGCTGTGCATGTATCTCGTCAGAAAGGCCGGCTGCTCGGGTTGGAAACAGCTGGGGTGGGAAGGGGGAAGGATGGGAAGTGCTGGTCCAGAGAAGGAACTGCATGAAGTGTAGAATGGGAATGGAAGAGCTAATTTTCTAGCAAACAGGTAAATAAGCAAATGCTAACAGAGCTGTTTGATGTTAAACATAGCCAAGAAAATGTGAGGCGAAGGCGAATCTGGTGCTGTGCATCTAGATGTGTTAAAAAAAAAATCTTTGGATTTGTGTGCCAGTGTTGAAAGAGTTTGCATGTGCTGGGCACCCCTTCTCTCTCCCTAATTTCTGCGTTGTTTCCTCTCTGCAAAAGAAGCATTATTAAAGCACATGACTGCAAAAATACAACCTTACCTGGGGCAGGGAGGGGAAGACATTTTGGAAGCATGGGAGCTAAATGTTCTGCAAAAGTATATTTTTAATATACTAGTTTTCAAGACACCTGCAATGGGAAAAAAGTCAAGATTGTCCAAAAGTTTTAAAAAGCTGGAGACTTGAATTCAAATTTAAGTTTGGCACTGCTAAAATAGCCCCTTTGAAAGTTAAACTTGTCTGCCGTGATTCTGTATAGGTCTGAGCTTTCTACTGAGCACCTGGTGATAGCGTTTAAGGAAATTCATTATTCCTGTAAAAAGGCAAAATGTAATATGGTAACAGGTTAGATGGGCTGGAGCATTTGCTATTGCAAGAACGTGCGTGTTGCATATGGTGGCAAAATGTGGGTGCAAAAGGCAGTGATGTGTTGGGTTGCTGTTGTGGCAAGTCTGCGCTAAAGAGGTGTGAACTTCCACGGGACATAGGAGGCATCTTCACCTCTCGCCTCTGCAGAACGAGGAAGTGCAAGATGTGCGATGTCTCCAAGTAGTGAGACAGCAGGCTGCTGAGGAGTCTCTGGGCCACAGCCTCTGTTCGGAGCAGCACTGGGAGACCTTCACAAAGTAGATTTTCTAGCAAACGTTGAGACTTACCAGCAAATGGCTGCTGATTCTCTCAGTAGTTTTGCCCCTGTTGGAAGAGGGAAGGCAAGAAGGGCAGGCTTCTCCCAGACTCCTCCAGCTGAAACGTGGTTGGTGCCTCCCAGGACAAAGGTCCCTAGCCAAGGAGGGAAGTGCTGGCTCTTTTGGCCTCTCTCCTTCTCTTGGCATTCAAAGTACCTATTAAACTGTCACCCCATCTCTAAAGCCCCAAGGAGAAGACTTCTTGTTGGCCACCACATAAGAACATTGTGAGAGGAGCACTGAGGGATACCCAGAGGAGCGAGGCGGGGCAGGACCAGGGAAAGCAAAGGAAAACACAACTCAGAAGGCACCTAGGAGTGACTGGTGCCTCAGGGAGGATGAGGATGCAAAGCTGGTCCTGAGGTCTGGCTAGAAGTTTGTCAGTGGGCTTGACAAAAGCTGTTTGGGTGGAGGGTAATGGTGAGTGAGGGATACGCTCTGTGTAATAATAGTAGGTAAAGCGTTCAGTGTGCAGTGGGCTGGTGTTGGGTTTTGCGGGTTGTTCAGAGAAACAGATGCCTTGACCTGTTCTGGTCAGACTTGCATGGGAATGACATGAGGTTGCTATATATAGGCTGCATGAACCAAACGTTTTTGCACACGGTCTGTGCCTCCAGCTGAATTTTTGGGGAAGATTCGCAAAACAGTTTCACTATTTCCACTGTCAATAAAGCTCGGTAACGAGAGAGGGGATACTGTTCTCAAATGACAAAATATTTATACTTTGTATAAATTGGTCTCATAGTTCCAAGTTGATTAAAGTGCTGTTTTTCAGCCGTAGCTATGCTTAACGGTGTAACAAACATACCTGAAAGGTTTCCTCCTTCTGGTTATAGATGGATGGTGATAGCTCCACAACGGATGCTTCTCAGTTAGGGATTGCTGGAGATTACATTGGTGGCAGTCACTATGTGATACAGCCTCATGATGGTAAGAAATGTTACAGTAAATATTACTATTTCTCTGTGTGTGTATATATATCTATATTTCCTTCCAGTTCTTTTATAGTTCTCTGCTATCTGCTCTCAGGCTAAGAATGTGCAATTGTTTGTATTCATAATGCCTCACTGTATAAAGCATTTTTTCTGCAGTCTGAAGGTGGGGGTTGGATTTTTCAATGTTGACACTGAGTCTTTTGGGGTGACGACAAAAAAAATGTCTTAGGAAACAATTTGTATTTTGACATGAAATTAAGAATGCTTGGTGTTCAGCAGCCACATACATTTCTATGCATAATATAAAGATGATATTGAACACCCATAAAGGTACCCTGGTGTTACATCTATTTTTTTTAATTATTTCTACAATGTTAGTATGCTGGGCTTTCACAAGTTCTTCATCCTTCAGCGTAAGATTTTAAACTTGCCTTAATTATTGCCTGCTGTCTATCAAATACAATTTCTGTTAACTTTTCTTTATTTCATTAGACACAGAGGACAGCATGAATGATCACGAAGATACAAATGGCTCAAAAGAGAGTTTCAGAGAACAAGATATATATCTTCCAATTGCAAATGTGGCAAGGATAATGAAAAATGCCATACCTCAAACAGGAAAGGTAAGTCTGGTAAAGAAGGCGTATTAATGAGTTTTAGTCCTTCCTCTAAGTGAACTTGAGTTGGTAGAACAGTACATTTTTCCAAATGATCCTGGTTTATTGGAGAAAAGCCTTTTAAAAACAAAACAAAACAAAAAAAAAACCAAGCAGGAGGTGGTTGAGACCATGTCCATTTTTCTTAGGTTTCTGAAAGCTTTTAGTAACTGCCATAATTAGATTATCCACAATGGTGCTTTTCATAGGGCTTTCAAGAGCTTTCTTTTTCTAAGATGTGTTCTCTGAAATTGTTATAATGGGTCAGACTTGGTGACAATCCCATATCAGTAGGAATACTTTCTATGCGATTCTCATGTGAAATTTAATCTGCTTTTATTGAGGTATATAAAATTTGGAGTAAGTGAACCATTTTGGATGAAATAAAAATCCATTCCTCATCCTGGCTTGTCTTCCATTGCTCGAATCTTTACATGTCCAAATGCCAGAATGACCTAAGAAGTCTGCATTACACCATGTAGCAGATAAGACCAGATGTTGAAAGACTTGTTTTCTTTCTTACTTCTAAGAATAGAATTTTTAATCCATTCTGCTGAGCTGGTGATTGTATAAGCGTTTGACTGTTGTACCTGTTTATCTTAAACCTTTGCAGGGTTCCTATTACTTGCTGTTTCTCTATTGTATTCCACTACAATTCCTGCCCCCGTAACATTTCCTCTAGCTAAAGCGGATTTCTCTTTTTTCGTTTTTTAAGATCACTCTAAATAGAAGCAAGACATATATCTGCTTGTACTTTCACAGTGTTCAGGGCTTTCTGGAGATCTGGGTGTTACATTTATATCTATGCTGTGAAAATCTCTTCACTAGTCCATATTGTCATAAATTTTTAGTGATCGAGATGAGATTTTTCTCAAGAATTTAGCATATGGGATGTCAAGCTATCTTGAAAAATCAGGGAGGTTTTTGTGAAAAACTGCAGGGGAAGCTGCTGGCTGATGAGTACTTCTGAAAATCTCGCCCTGTGTCTCTGAAAATATCAGAGGAACTAGTGAAGATTCTACATACGCTTACTGCTTCATTATTTTTTTTAAATACAGATAGGTGGTTCTCATGTGAAGAATAAGAATCTTAATTATTATAATCTTTCAGTTGGCTCCTGTCAGCTTCCCAAATAATAATGAGTAATGGTTGCTGTTATTTTAAGTCAGGTAAATTACTTTTGTCCAGCTGAAAACCATAATCAAATTTACTTACTACATTCTTGCCTGGGGCTTATGTTTCTTCATTTGAATTCTCATTTGGCAAATTTATACCAGAATATTAAAGCATTAGAGAGGCTTGCTGCTAGGCATATATTCTAGTCCCTGAATCTGGTCAGGATAAAAATACTTCTCATTGCAGAATTTGTGGGAATGTACTGCAGTGGAGTTGGAACTGCTGGGTCTATTAAAAGGAAGGTGGAAGTGGGCTATGACATTGTAATGAACAAGTTTAAAGAGGAGGCGTAGGTAAGCAAAGTAAGCAATACTGAGATGCATCAATATGTAAAAGCTTGGACAGAACACAGTTATGACTTCAGGAGATCCTGGCAGTTGGCTGTGTTGCTTGAAATAGTAAAACTTATGTTAAAATCATGTCGCAGCTGTGCTTACATAGAGCAGTGATGACATCCAGTGGTTCCCTCACATACAGGTGTTGCCTAAATGGGTCTTGTCACCAGGTTTTGGGATGTTTCCTTTATTATCTAGTGTATTCTTTTGGGGTTCTTTTTTTTAATCTTCTTGCGTCTTGATTAATCACTTTATTATATTTTTTTCCTTACTAGATTGCTAAGGACGCAAAGGAATGTGTGCAAGAGTGTGTAAGTGAATTCATCAGCTTTATAACATCAGAAGCAAGTGAGAGGTGTCACCAAGAGAAAAGAAAGACCATCAATGGAGAGGATATTCTCTTTGCCATGTCTACCTTGGGGTTTGATAGCTATGTTGAACCTTTGAAGTTATACCTCCAAAAATTCAGAGAGGTTGGTATATATTTCAGTATTTCCTTATTTATTTAACCTGGTTGTGTTTATCCTTAGCTCCCTGTCATTGTAATTGTACAAAGGTTAACTTGCACAGTGTCTCACAGCTATTGTCAGGGACTAATGTAATGTTTAAAAGCATTCCAGAGGATATCAAGAGAAAAAGAAGTAAGCAAGCATTTTGATTAGACTTGCTGATTCAAAGTAGTTAAAGTTTTCAACTGAATAAATTCTCTAATATATTGCTGGTAGTAAATCACTCTGTTCTTTTTAAAGGTGCCTATTAAGAATACTTAATTCGATCTTTGGGTTCAATCAATAAAACTGTACTAGACTGCATCCTCTGAGGAACTGGCCTAATGCCTATTGTTTGTCTGGGCTTGAGATCTGCAAAAGAAAAAGTTGTTTTTCTCGTGTCGGCATAATGATTCACATGGAAGGCTACCTGCTTCAATGGTTTTTCTTAATCTGTTTTTTTAGCCTGTCCCTCAGTTTGCTTTTGATACCTAGTACATGCTAGGCATCCCTTCTCTAGCAGAGTGTGATTTCCGCCCCC